GGGGACATCTATCGTCTGCCACATACAATGCTGTTTTAACACCTCTCTGGACTCCAATTATGCAAATACAATCAGCACCTGGTTGTGACCAACATACTATGTGGATTGGAGCAACATTCACCATATTTATTCGGAGATAATTTTTTGTACAATTCATTCTGAATCGAGAAAGCTGGACGGATGACCAGTGAAACATCTTCAAGAAAAATACAGCAAGCCCAGTTGCCTTGACTCATTTTTTACAGATAATATAGACCAATGATTTCAGGACAGTGGTGAAGTGCAATGGCCCAGTCGCAGCTGCAACCCTGCAATCCTGGTAGTTCTGCCAATGACTTCAAGCTGTAGGGGGACTACAAATCTCAGCAATACATTATACAGCAATGCAGAATAATATGAATTTACATACTCTGTTTTGCTCAGCAGGGATGTGCAGGGTCTGACCAGTGATGTGTGGGGTCTCACCTGTGCTGTGTGTGGTCACACCAGGGCTGTGCGTGTTCTCAAAAGGGCTGTGTGCGGTCTCCCCAGGGCTGTGCAGTGTCTCACTAGGGCTGTGCATGGTCTGACCAGGGCTGGGCGGGGCCTCAACAGGGCTGTGCAGTCTGACCAGGGCTGTTTGTGGTCTGACCAGGGCTGAGTGCGGTCTCACCAGGGCTGCAAGCATTCTCACCAGGCATGTGTGTAGTCTCACCAGGGCTGCATGCAGTCTCACTAGGGCTGCAAGCATTCTCACCAGGCATGTGTGTAGTCTCACCAGGGCTGCATGCAGTCTCACTAGGGCTGCAAGCATTCTCACCAGGCATGTGTGTAGTCTCACCAGGGCTGCATGCAGTCTCACTAGGGCTGTGCGTGGTCTCACCATGGCTGTGTGGGGTCTCAGGAGGATGTGCTGGTCTCCCCAGTGATGTGCCGGGTCTCACCAGGGCTGTGAGGGCGGGTGCAGGCGGCGGAAAGGAGGAGAAGTAGATGTGCTGTAAGCAGTGCCACGAGGTCCCCAGGAAGCGCGGGATCTTACGTCAGCCGACTGTATTTACAAATTTAAAGCACTGGCGCTTAGTATCGTGGAGTTATTACAAGTACCAATACTGATATCGGTATTGGTGCATCCCTACTTTTAATGTAGGACAGGCCAGGAAGTTCCCATCGTCCTGGATGGTTCATACGACAGCCTATTGGGCTGGGGAGGAGTTTTTAGGACAGAAGCGGTCCAGGGGAGCTTGGTTCTTGTGAGAGACCAGATTTCTCATCAATGTTCTGGAACTAAGGGCAATTTGTCTCTCCTTCCAGATGTTAGCAGGCCGTATTTTGGGATAACCATCAAAGATTCAGTTGGAAGACATCATAGCTGACATCATCAACTATTAGGTGGGCACAGGAAGTCACACAGCCCAAAAGAAAGCAAATTTTATTCTGACCTGGGCCAAAATGCTTGATAAGCCTTGTCCATGGTCCACTTTAAACATTTGCCAGGTGGGCTTTCTTAGTCATCAATGCCTGGAGGCGTGTAAATGGTCTCTTCACCCCGTGGTGTTTTATGAGACCTCTGTTCATGGCCAGGCCCAGGGATCCTCAGACCTTCACAGTAGACGTTCTAGTGACCCTGTGGGATCAATTTTGGCTGATATACGCCTTCCCTCCAATACAGATTGTTCCTTGAATGCTCCACAGGATCGAAATAGAGGGCGTTCTGGTGCTCCTGGTGATGCCAAAAATAGCCATGAAATTGGCTCTCGGACATCCTTTAACGTTTAGGTGAAGTTCTCCATGGCCTCTTCCCGACCGACCTGACCTGATATCTCAGGGGCTGGTATACCATCCTGATTCTGAGTCACTGGCTTTCACGGCTGAGGGACCAGGGTCTGTCTAACTTGGTTATTCCTACGCTTCTGAAGGCTAGAAAGTTGACTTTTCAGAAAATCTATCATCAGACTGGTGTCCTTATCCAGTAGAGAGTCTTTTCTGATTCTCCATAGAGATAATGTCGTTCTGAGATCTCAAGCCTCTTTTCTTCTCAAGGTGTTTCTGCCTTCCATCTTAATCGGGACATTGTCCTGCCTTTTCTTTGCCCTGCTCTGCTGAAGCATCCCAAAGAGATTTCCCTGCACTGTTTGAATGTGGTGCTGTAGTGCATGTATACCTTTAGGCTACTGCCTTTATGCTAACTTTTTTGTCACCTGTAGAAATTGCTACTTGTTATCGACTATGGGGGAATTTATCAAAACTAGAGCAGACAAAATCTGGAGCAGCTGTGCATGGCAACCAATCAGCTTCTCTCTTTTATTTTAAAATCTTAGCTGAACAAACTAAAGATAGAAGCTGATTGGTTACCCTGCACAACTGCTCCAGATTCAGTCTGCTCCAGTTTTGATCAATTCCCCTCTATGTCTTCTGTCTGCTGCCTGGACCAGCCTTTTGTCTGTTTTTGACCATGTCTTCTGACTACCTGCTGCCTGTACTGACTTTCACCCTTGTTTACCAACCATGTTTGCTGCCTGAACTGGCCTTACTGCAAGTTTCTAACCATACACCTGCTGGGGCACTTAGTCTCCTCCACTATCCAGCCATATTATCTGACCTCTCT